GTGCAAGAGGGAGTGCTCTGCCCAAACTTCAGACCAGGGATCCTTTCTGTCACCACTTTGTCTCTGGGTACTGCAGAGACAAAGGTGGCCCTCCACACCAGGGCAACTCAAGGCCATGCTTTGGAGTCCACCTGGCATGCCTGAGGACACCCGGCCCCTGCTCCAGCTGTATCTGTTAGCCTGGCATTTCGGCCTGGGGTTTCAGCCTGCCAGGCTCCCGAAGCCCAGCAAGGGAGTCCCTTGGATCGTGCTCCAGGACTGTGGAGGAGGGAAAGGCTGGGAGAAGAGCTGAAAAACACTTGAGATCTCGTTAACTTTTTAAATTTGCCCTGTTTCCCCTTTCCTTTCCTGACCACGAAGAGGAAGATTTGATGATCCTGGGGGAGAGGAGCAGCCTGGAGGAAGCAGCCTTGGTCTGACCCTGTGTCACTGGCTTGTTTCTCCACAGCCTCAGTCCTTGGGAGATTTCAGAGGATCAAACACATAGAAAAGAAGGCAGCAAGTGGCAAGGAAAGCACAGGGGCACAAGACCAGGAATTACTGCGTAGCTTGTGGGGCCCAGACAAATAAAATTACAAGATTCCTTGTTTAAAAATGATCAAGAATGGGCTGGAGATTTAGCTCAGTGGCATAAGTGCCTGCCCAGCAAGTGTGAGGTTGCCAGTTCGACCCCTGGTACCACAAAAAAAAAAAAAAAAAGAATTTTCGCAGCAGCAAAGCATCAATCCAAGCCCAAAGCCCTTCTCGGCAAGGGAAGCCGTGGGACACACGGGCTGCACCCCCATGCCGAGGGCCATGCAGCAGAGTCCATATCTTCCAACACATGGGTAGAGCTGGTGAGTAGAGGCTGGCCCGTGAGTTCTGAAACCTCAGGGACTTGGACCCGGTACTCTCTGGAAGCGCTGCTGAGAATGCATCCAGGGTCTCAGAAAGCTGGGTCTGAGGACACGGTAGATCCTAAGCATAGGACTCAGTCAATTTCTGGTCCAAAAGTGGTTCAGAGGCAACACAAACATGACAGCACTGCGGAGAAGACAGCAGAGAGTCTGGCTCTGTTCACGGGGGAGGAAGGACCAGCGTGAACCCCCAGTCTGCTGTGCAGCTGTGTGAGACTCTCAGATGCTGGAACGGGGGCAAGCGTGGCAGGGCCGGGTGGACACATCCCAAATGACTGGCAGGATGAGGGCTTGGAGCTAGACATTGACCCTGTTTTCATTTTATAAAAGTGAAAGGGATACAATATATCAGAAGATGCTTCCTACCACACTGGGCCCTGGTCGCAGGCTCATTTTTATTGCAAAGGAAGGTGAAGCAGTGATCTGAGTAAGAGGTGAAGCTGGACCACAGTGGTCAGGTGGCAGCAGTGAAGAGAACTAGAGCATCTGGTGACCTCCAGGAGGTAGAATTGGCGGGACCTGACGAACGATAGGAAGAAAGCGGCCGAAACCACGAGGAACTCCTGTTGCTGGCCAGAGCTAGATGGAGACACCACCCGCAGACATGAGGCGCACAGAGGAGCCAGTGTGGGTGTGGGGGTCGGCTGGCACGGGATTGGTTCTGCATTTGTGGCCCCCACACACCCAAGAGAAGACGTCACCGAGGGCAATGAATAAATGCTAGGAAGCTTAGAGGAGAAATCTGAGCTGGGCGGGTACATGGGGAATCAGGAGCTTATTCAGCCTGGGTGTGGAAGAGATTGCAATGAAAACCCCAGAAAAGGAAGAGAACAGGGTGGGGGGCCCTGAGGAGCCCCGTCATCTAATGGGGAGGCAGAGGCAGTTGTGCCACACAGGTGGTCAGGAGTAGCCGGGGCAGGGAGCTGCTGCACCACGGGAGGAGGAGGAGGACAGTGTGGCGGCTGCTGCTGCTGCTGCTGAGAAGCCCAGTGAAGCGAAAACTTGACACTGGCCCTGGATTTAGGGACACGGCAGTCACTGGTGACCTTGGAAAGATCCATCTCACCCAAGAGTCTGGAAGAGTTGAACAAGAGGCAGGAAAAAGGAGATGGAGTTACCTTGCACTTGGCTGTGGAGAGGGAACAAGGGGTCCTTGCTAGAGAGAGCAGGGGGAACAGGAAAGGGGGTTCAGTTCACTTCTTTTTCATTCTAACGGCTCCACCAACATACAACCAACGTATTTTTTTTTCTTTTTTTTGTATTTATTTTTTTTTATCGGTACCAGGGATTGAACTCATGACTGTGCACTTGCAAGGCAGGCGCTTATGCCACTGAGCTCAATCCCCAGCCCCTAACCAACGTATTTCTTAACTCATATGTTTTAAGTGCAGCAATTTGAAAAGCTTTGAGGTACAACTATACCCGTGAAACCACTGCTATAATCAGGAATATATTTTTCATATCCCCAAACTTCCTCCTGCCCCTTAATAAGCCCTGCTCCGGGCTCCTCTTAGCCCCATTCCTAGGCCTCTGCTGATCAGCTTGGATCACTATAGCTTATACATTTTTTACTTTCCCTTTTTAATAATGAGATGCACATTATTTTTTATTTACTGTTATTCACAATTTTGTAGTGATTGAGCACAGGACCCGGTGTGTACTAAACACGCACTTATTGCATTTTCTAGAATTTTATATAAATGGAGTTCTTTTTAAAAGTGCCTTTTTCTGAATTCTTCATTCGGCATAACTATTCTAAGACTCATGCATATCTGTTGTATATATCAATAATTCCATTTCTTTTTATTGCTGCTGTGTGGCTATTACTATAATTTATCTGTTTTGTATACTTGTTGATAAACATTTGAGCTATTTCCATTTTGGAACTATTGCAAATCAAATTACTTTGAACTTTCAAATTGCTTTGATTTGTTATATGCACACAAGCTTGCAATCTTGGCAGTAGATAACCAGGAATGTGTGTCTAATTTTTACAACACTGTTAAACTGTTTCCTAAAGTGGTGGTACACTTTTACACTCCCATTAAGTAGTCTCTAACAGTTCTAGTTTCTCCACACTCTTGCCAACACTCATATGGACAACTTCTCATCTCAGTTACTTTCTCAGTGCTGAGACACAATGCCTGATACCACAGCCCTTAAGGGAAGAAGAGTTTATTTTGGTTCATGGTTTGTGGAGGTTTCAATCCAAGGCAGGACAGCATGGCAGGCAGGAGCAGAAATTCATCAAGAGAGGAGGAGGGAGATAGACTCTTTCAGACCACGTCCCCTGTCACCCCCCTTCCTGACCAGCTTCAGCTCTCAATGTAACGTTCAGCTATAAACTCGCCAGTGGACCGATCCACTGATGGATATTGTCACCATAATCCAATCACCTCCTGGTGGGAAGATGTCAAGATATACACCACAGCAGACATTTTGGTGACTTCTCATTTTCAGCTCCTGTCCCACTTGGGGAAAGGGTGAGGGTACAGGTGAAGCACATGTAGGAAGGCAGAAAAAGGACAGGGGACAGGGGACAGCAGCAGCAGCAGCAGCAGCCACGCTCAGATTAGCACCACTAGCTCAGCCGACAGTGACATTCTTTCCACAGTCTGTGCCTGGCAACAAGCCCAGCTGCTAGCAAATGTATTTTCTGTAGATCACCCTCCACACGCAAGCCTGTGGCCTTCCTACCCAAGGACTATGCGTGAGACAAGAATCCCCCAGGGACCTCCACTTTGGAAGCTCCTTCATGGCCACATTGATGCTGGAAAGCAGAAGTTCGGGTAAGGAGATTCATTCCCAGTTGATGGGACCCTGATTGGCCTATTCCTGGTACAGCAAGAAAAGAAAAAAGAACAGAAAAGATAAGACGAGACAATGTCTCTGGTCCTAAGAGAAGACAAAATGGCGGCAGTGCACACATGTGTATGTCCATATGTGTGCGTTAAACCAAGTGTTATAGTTTAAAAACCAGTGGTCAATTTCATACCAGCTGAATTAAATTAGCATGGTGATGAGTGTAGATGGCCCACCTGAGGCCAGCATAGAAAGAGATGTGGAGAGAAAGAGTGTTGCATTGTGGGTTCTCCTTTGTTTTTATTGTTTGGAGCTGTTGGTTCTCCTGAAGAGCTTGTCATGGCTAGCTCCTCCAACATGAATTTGGCCATTATCGGCAGAGGAGCTCAGGACCTTGTTGCTGTGAGTAGCTGCAGTTGGGGGAGCTCTGGTCCTTCCGTTGAGCATGGCTTTCTGACTTCGGAGGGGGAGATGTGTGCTGCTTAATCTCCAGGAGAAGCTCCTCATTCTGGCTTCCTGATCTGTACTCGGCTGTTCTCTTCGTTGGAGGAACTCAGGGTCTCGTTGAGGCTGTGGTACTTTTCAGGGTAGCACTGGTTCTTATTCTGAGTGTTGCTTCTTGGCTCTACTGCAGAACCCACTGGCACAGATCTTTCACCCCACTGGCATAGACTTTCTAGCTTCCACTGCTGACTTGTGAGCCTTCCCAGTGCAGATCCATAAAACAGACTTGCATGAGTCATTGCTGTGGGCTCTAGGCCTCCAGCTGGACTCATGGGAGGTGCTGTCCTGGGTTCTAGGTCTTCAGCTGGACTCATGCAGGACATTGTCGTGGGGTCCAAGCCCTTAGCTGGATTTCTCTAAGTGCTTAGTGTTGTGGACAGATTTCCTGCACTTTCTTGTATTTAACTCTGGGTGACCATCATATAATAATATAAACGCTGTGTCCTGTGTGTAACTGTTCTTGAAACCCCTGACTACAATACAAACTATGCATTCAGTCAGGTATAAGGAAGGCCAACTGACCTGCTGAAGAAGCTCTTCTGCTCAGCCCTAAGAGAAGGATGTCCCCTCTATTAATTTGATCAAAGATGTCAATATCTAAGTGTCAAGGTTAAAGAGGATTAAATTTAAGGATTAAATTATGTTGGCACCTTTGGAAATTGTAAACAAGTCAACATTCTTCTCTAGAGTTAAGTTTGTATCCTAAGAGCACACACAGGCTCTAAGGTCCAGCACTGAATTTTGAGAAGCAAGCATGTATGCTTTAAGTGAGAGTGAAAAAGAACCCACGTACAGTACCTGTTGCTGCTGGGAAGAACACCCCAAACACAGTGAAGAAAGACTCCCCGGGGCTGTAGTCTGGGAATGTGTTGTTCCACAGTAGTTCTGGTGAATACCCAATAAAGCCATGCTCTGAAATGACACAAAGCACAGGAAAATGAGCCCAGAGATCAGACACAGCACAGACTTCCCTAGATTACAGTACTATTTTGTATGGTTTTAGATGTTAAAAGGGAAGGGTGTGTGTGTGTGTGTGTGTGTGTGTGTGTGTGTGTGTGACTGGAGAAGGGGGAACAGGAGAAGGTCTGACACAACCGTCTCCTCTCCACCGTGAGGGTGACCTCTGCGTATCCCTGTGGATCTAAGGACACAGGCAGATGAGACAATCCAAAGTGAGCTCTGGGAAGGGGAACGTTTTCATGTTTGCTTTACAGACTTTGGTGTAACTGGAGCATCTTAGTACCTTGCCATGGGAATATGTTTATGTATTTGCTTTCCATATTTAAAAAATTAGTGAATGTTTGCAAGTTCTCTCCCTGATGAAAAGCTTCCCCTGAGTACCCATGAGCTTCAGAAATAAGCTCAAACTCCTTCGAGTGAGCATCAAGCTCCCAACAAGCCGGCAAGAGCCTTCCGCGTGCTCTGCCCTCCACTTCCTCTCCCAACCGCCCCTCTTCTCAGGACCCCAGCAGCACTCTCCTGTGCCTCCCGGGCTTCTCTCAGGGCCTCAGTCCTGTGCCCACGGGGCAGTTCACAAATCGCACAGTGTCTCCCTGGTCAGAATTGACCCCTTCACTGGGTTTGGACCCCTTCACATCAGCTCTCTGCCGAGCCACAGCCTGTGCATCTGTGAGCCTGAGTCCAGCTTGGTGCCTGGCGCTCAGTGGTACGCTGCCCACGGGGGGGGACATGAGAAGAAAGCTCTCTTGATCTTCCAGCGCAGGGGCACAGCTCTCTCTTACGTTGGACCTGCTCCCTGGCTACTTTATGGCCAGGCTATCTCAGATCTAATCCTTCGAAGTATTTTAAATGTGTCTGTACATTGACCTTGACAGTTTTTCAGGTGGCTTCAATCCTCTAAGCACTTTACTCTGTCACAGGAGGTCATTCTGCACCACACCTGTGAAGGCACTGGCTGGCTGTGGACTTCTGCGCCCTGAGTCAAGTGCCCTTGGCTCCAGGATTAGAATTTTCAGCTCTTCCTCTGCCTCTCCTCTCTGAGTCTGCTACTGTGAACCGTGGTCCAGGAGAAACCAACCCTGGCTCCTTTGCCCTTGACCCCTGCAGTCACATGGGATGGTGTGTGGCCATCTGAGAGCCCCCTGCCGGCCTGTCCCCACCTGCCTCACACTTCCCTCCACAGGGAGCTCTGGAGACATTGGGGTTGCTTCCCTCGGCTTGCAAGAGCCATAACTTTATAGGAAAAATATTTTTCAAAAAAATCGCGAAAGGGAAGCTTAATGAAGCAGAAGAGCACCCCTGGGCGTATGATCAGGACTTACAATGGTCCTCATTTCTTTCCTTTGTCTGAATGCAGAGCTTGCTTTGCATACTGAGCCCCAAATGCTGCACAGCAAATGCCAGCCGGTGGCTCAGCTGCTCCCCAGCCCAGGAGCAAAAAAAAGAGCAGCAGAGCACAGAGAGGTTTGGAAGAGAACAGCTGGGATTTGGGCAGAACCCTGTGCCACAGAGCTGTTAACTTTAGTGTCCCCGCTGGCTGACCCTGAGGATTAGCCTTCTGAGGAGAAAGCCAGCCCAGCCTGCCTTGGAACTCTGTGCAGCTAAGCTGGGATGACTAAAGGTCCAAAAGCCCAGGGTGGGCTGCAGGCCCACCTGAACACCTCGGCAGGGGGCAAGGACTTCACCTCTGCAGCCAGAGGGCCCCACCAGCCAGGATTCCTTTGCTGGGCTGAGGTCTTTGTCTTGGTCAGCCAGAAGGCCCAGTGGAAATTCAGGCCCAAGACATCACTGGGAAGCATCAGCTCTGCCTCCATCCCCCAGCAAGGTCCACAGGCTGAGAGCAGGGACCTGCCTCAGCTGTCCTCTTGTAAGGTCAGCAAGAAAAGCAGATCCATGAACACACTTTCACACTGACTCCCACTGACACACTCACAGCAACACACAAGTACACCATAACTGTGACATATCCATGAGCACACTTACCGACACACAAGCACATGCTGACACTCACCAGCACACTCACACACAAGCTTCCCTCCATAGGGAGCTGCATATTAGTAGGAGTGTGTTAGTGTGTGTGCTCATGTGTTAGTGCACGTGTTTCAGTGTGAATGCTTCAATGTGAGTGCAACACCAGGGCATCTCCCTTGGGCAGGCAAGGCCCAACATCCTGTGAGCAGCTCAAGAGTATGGGATGGGCTGGGTTTGAGCTGGGAGAATGCTGGACTCCAGGTCCATCTGGTTCAGGTTCACATCGACCATCCTGTCTCTCGAATTTATCCCAGTGTCCTCCAGCCCCAGGAATTCAGAAATTTATTTTTCTTTTGCTTTCCTCCTCCCCTTCTTTTTCTTTTGGTTTTTTGAAACAGGGTTTCACAAAGTAGTATTTCAGACTGGCATTGAACTTACTTTGTAGCCCAGGCTGGCCTTGAACTCCAGCAATCCTCTTGCCTCAGCCTCCCCAGTGCTGGAGTTACACGAATGTGCCACCACACCCTGCTGGAATTTACTTCTTGACCTCAGCCAGCCTCCTTGCGAGGGCACTGAGCTGGGGGCCCTGTCAGCTGATTACCTTCCCACTCCTAAAGGCCCCAGATGGCCAGGGCCTGCAGTTGCTGTGTGTGAAAAACTTTTTCCGGCTTGACCTGAACATCTGCTTCTATAGCCACAGAATAAAAATACTTTGTGGGTCCCATTTGAGCTGTGTGCTTTTAGAAAGAACAAAAATGGAACAGGGAAGAGAGGGGAAAAAAATCGTTGAAGACTCAGGCAGTAACAGGAGAAGTCCTTGTCCTCGACTTCTTGGTTGCGTCTGTGAATGAACCCAGGACCCCACACATGGTACGCAAGCACTCGACCACCAAGTCAAGTCCCCACCCAACTTGGGCTCTTGTGACATTGCCAGTGGGCCGCTGTTCTTAGCGCCCACCAATGACTGGGGTGTTGGTGGGAGCCCCTCCTCCCACAGCAAAGGCACAAGCGGTACAAAGCACAGCAAGGCCAGGGCTGAGGCCCTCATGCTGCCCACCTCAGGGGCACAGACCTGGCGACCCCGGCAAGGTGGCTGCTGGGAAACTCTCCCCTGCTGCTGCTTGCATCCCGGGGGAGGCACAGGGCTCTGCTGAAATTAGAAACGCGGCGGGAAAGCAATCAGCCCCCAGTGTGGGTGCTGGATCCACTAATTTAGAAAGCGAGCGATGCTGGAGCTGTGGGCTGCAGGCTGGAGCCGAGGCCCAGCTTCCGGGAGCCCATCCCCCACCCTGCCACCAGCCGCCAGCCACCAGCCAGACAGCCCTTTCCTGGGAACAGACAATGGGAGAGGCTGGTCCAACCAGGAATAGAAAGAGCGGAGGAAGGGCTGGGAGAGAGGAAGGGAGGGTGGGGCTTTGGAGATCACAGGAAGAGCAACTATGCAAGGAAAAGGAAAGGAGAGGCCCAGGTTCTGGGAAGGGACAGGCACCAAAACAGCGCCAGAGGCGGGGGCTGGCAGGGAAGGGGACGGCCAGCGAGGCTCTGCGGTCCTCAGAGGAGGAGGAAATACAGTGCCACCACGCGGCTCCTGGAGCTGGCCAGGCCTGGGCCCCTCAGAGGGAGGTGGACTGGAGTCCAGGAGGCGCCACCTACCTAACCCTGTGTCCAGCCTCATGTGGACAGAGCACCAGCAGATCAGATACTGGTCAGGGAGAAGAGGATGAAGGGGTGTCCGATATGCAGCTTTCCCCTGGTGCCCAACACTTACTCGGGTACCACTGATCCCAGACGGGCTAGGATGGACAGAGCAGGCAGTTACACGCTCTCCCCCCAGCCTGGTTTGTGCGAGGAGTCTTTTCTCTGGGCATTGGTGTTGGCTCCTAGAGGTGCAGCCATGACCATCGGAAAGAGCCCAAAGAGGAGCAAGGATCTGGGAGAAGTCCTGGCCCAGCCCCTCCCGCCCTGGGTACAGGAACAAATCCCCGAAGAGCTCTGAGCAGAAGGCAGGAACCAGACCCAGGCATGCCAGGTGTGGCGGGGCAATCTCAGCATCCTGAGTGGCCAGGCATGGGAGGGCACTCGGAGGGCAGTGTGGTAACCTCAACCCAGAGTCCAGTGTGGAGTCCAGGTACTGCGGAGTCCCAATCTGCTGGGTCAGGGCAGTCCTGTACCTCCAGGTGTTCAGTAAAAAGCCTTCTGAAACTTTCCTGACACAGGCTGTATTGATCTGGCCAGGACTGGCCGTGGCCTGTGATAGGTTTGGAAGAGGCCTGTAAAGAGTTCCCCAGACCACTATCTCCTCCCTGGCATCATCCCTGGTGACTCTGATCTTCCAAGAAGGGGGCAGGGAGAGGATGTGGGCAGAGTTTCCAGGCTGGAGCCCCTGTGCAGAGCGAAAACATGCGGAGAAGGTTGGGTATTTTGGCAGGGCCAGCAGGGAGCCACGAAGGTGGCTGGGCTGTGCCCCAGGGCCTGACAGCTCCACCCTGGCTGCCCTGGGAGGAGCAGCCTGGGCCTCTGCTGGCCCTGAGGAGGCCTCCGCCCTGTGGGAGCGCCTGCTGTCAGGAGGCCCCCAGCCCCGGGCAGTTCAGGGGGTGAGGGGCCCTGGCTGGGCAGTGGCTCCTGCCCACCCTACCATCCAGAAGGGCAGGCCTGGGGATCTTCCAAGCAGATGTTTTTGACATGTGGAAGGAAAGGTGAGCTGGTTCCTCATGAAGATGGAGTTCCCAGAAGCCATTTCATTTGCTAACTTTAAATGGTTAATGAAGCTTTCCTTACAGTGACCTTGGGGTCAGTAAGTTGAGATGAGACTTCAGCCTACAGAGCCCTATGTGGAAAAAACTGTCAAATGCCTAGGAGTAGAAAAGAGCCTGGCTTGTGTTACCCGGGGCCCAGAAAACAAGGTGGTACTGGGTGAGGCAGGTGGTAGCCACTTAGACTGAAAAGGTGCTTGCCCTGGATTATCTCAGTTAAACTACGAG